AGATGTCAGATGTTTTTATGTTGCTGGGGCATTCTTCCATGTTGAGAAGAACCATGCTTACCGGAGAACATCTACCTTCTTTCCATTTGACAAGAACTACGATAGAGTCACGAGTCCTCGCCAACCTGTTTGAAGGAAGGGTAAGGTCATGCCGCACTTGACTTGCCTTTCCCAAGATTGTTTGAACTTGCAACTACCTCACTAGGAGCACAAGAAGGTCAGCATAGACATGGGAAGACGTTTCCCCCAAAACATTCCTTTTTCAACATGAGTCTTCTGACTCAACGACCCTCGTTGAGTCAGGGATGAAGGGAGGGTAGCTGGGTAGAGCCTCTTCACCTTCCTTCCGCTGGTGGCTGCCCGATGGGAAGACGGCCCGATGGGAAGACGGCTCTCCAAAGGAATTGACACGTTTTGGAAGGAACTGACCCTCTACCCCCCCTCTGAAAAAAGAGGACTTGTCTACTATAGTTCTCAACAGGAGAACACGACTTCTCTTTCAACGCATCCCCCAAAAAACAGCACAGCAGTTAGGGCTGGACATCTCCTCTTTGCTTCCCGCCAACGGTGGATTCTTCGCCACGCGCGGTCACGCGAGCCGCGACGGCAGGCCTGGGCCAAGAAGTCCAAAACGGTTCCCTCACGGATCCCGGCCGCAGGCGACCGGGCGATGGACGGCCGCAGGGGTTCCCTGGTGGTGGTTGCAGAAGCGTGAAGCATGGGAGGCTTGTGGTGTTTTTTCCCGAAGAAACCTGAGATCGGTGGGATAAAAGCACTGGGTGAACGGAATTTCAGAACCTTGTACTGGCTTTTGAATGGGATTCGAATGGAGTGATCTTTTGAGGACAGGACATAGATGTGGAGGAGTACAGCGGGTGAAGAATGTGACAAGAGATTTGAAAGATGTCTACCTGGAAAGTCTGTCCCACCCAGAAACACATGGATGTTCCCCCGAAAAACCACCCGTTTACGCGAACTGCTCTATTGAAACAACCACTTGTTTCTGTTCTGGTTGTTTGGATTTCCAGCTGGCTAATTTGCAGGCTTTGTACATTTCAGGTGCTGATTTGGGGGTGGCAGGTTTTGTTGGTGCAATCCAGACAGGTTGGCCACCAGTTCTGAAGCAATCTTAGTGACCCCGCTTTGGGTGTACGACAGGTTCTTTTTTTCTGGTCAAGTTTGTGTGCTTGTGGTAATGGTTGTTATATAATACTCGTACCTAGTTTCTGTTCAAACACCCAAACAACTTCACTCAGAAGATGCAAAGAAGGAAGAGAGAAGACTTGGTAGCTTAGTAGCTTGAGCGTCAAGAAAGGGCCGCGTGGGGAGGCCGTCTAAAATCATTCTAATATACTACCCAGGAAAAGTGGATCACCTGCAAAACAATCTTTTTTTGAGGGGCGTCTTCCCCAGGAGTGATAGAACAGCTGGAACGTCGAGCTCGGGGAGGAACGCCGATGCAGCTGTCTTGAGTCGGCTCGGTCCCACATTCTCGGATTCATCGGGTGGGGGGATCCTTTTTGCATTTTTAAACATCAACTAGTAGTAACAAGGGCATAGCTAGTAGTAGCTTCTAGCTACTAGTGGTCATGCCCTTGTTACTAGTAGCTTCTTGCTACTAGTAGCATCATGTTTCATGCATTTGTTTCATGTCTGTCAACAGGCCCCACGATGATCCTGGAGTCCAAACTTTCCTTCTCTCGCACAAGCTGGGATGTTTGGATGACACATTCATGGAGTCATTTTTCCATACAAGTTTTGCTTCCCGAAGAAGCACTTGAAGCAGCACCTGGAATGATGCGTGGGATTCTTCACTGGAGGAACAAAAGGGGCCCTTCGCAACCTGAAAGACCACGCACTGGAGGCTCCTGGTGTGTTATTTCCCAGATACTCCATGGTACTGACACATATGAATCTCTTCCTCTCTCTCTCTCTCTTGTATATATATACATATAAAACACACACACACACACATATATATATATATATGTATATACATGATGACCCCAACAATCCATGTATATGCATGTACCAGCAGTCACAAAGGAGTGCTTAATGGAGGTTAGGGGTGCCCAGAACATCCACTCACTGGATGGGACCAAACACCACCCCGACGTGACTCCTGGTAGGGTTGATTTATTTCCGTGGTCACTGTGTACCTCTCTTCCGCTCCCGTCCTCCACGCGGTCAGCACGCGCGGCTGGCTTTGCCAGGAAATGCGCACACCCCGAGCCACCCCTTCGCTCGACTGGTGGCTGCCTTGGGGGTCTCCCCATCGGAGTCGATGTTGACATGATGGCAGTGGGTCAAACCCTCCTAGCAGCAAGAACGCTACTAGGTGGAGGCCATCGCAAGTAGGTTGGAGGCCATCGCTACTAACAAGACGCTATGAACATAATAGCTTTCAGACGCTATGCTCGGTGGTCCCCCACCAAACCCACTGCGTACCTGGCATTGACCCCTCTATTTGCAAGAGGACATGATTGCTGAAGCAAGGCCTTACGAGCTAGCCGGGCAGGGAGCGGTTGCGGTCGGAGAAATTCCAGCCATTTGCGGTTGATCTCAGGTGTTTCTTTTCTTCCGCTTCGGTAGGGTTTCTCCGCGAGTCGAGTCTTTGTTCTTTTGGAAGGGTGGATTTCATTTGCTCGCCGGTCTCACCCCCGCAGCCAAACCACGGTCGACCCTCTTTGCTGGATCAGCCAGAAAGGATCCCGAATAATCCAGGGATCATTCAATGCCCAGATGGTGGAGGGTTCTTTTACACTATGACTCACTAACATGGAAGTGGAAAACTGCCTTTTGGAAGACTACTTTCCTTTACAAACAGGGGGTTTTCCACTTCCATGTTAGTGAGTCGGAGTGTAACATCTTTTCACCATCCTTAGAGAGATGAAGAGGTCAATTCCCTTCAAAGGTGTCGTGAAAGACGCTCAAAAAGCTGTGTGGGTGAGGAGAAAACTTGACCATTTCTGCGGACCAAGTGGTTTGGGTATCTTTCAGAATCCCCATGAGCTCAGGAGAAACTTCCATCGAAGCTTCTGCCGAGCTTCGTAAGGTGGTGTAGCTCTGTAGCTCCAGCCTCTCCGGTGTCTCCCTCACGGAGCCTCTCGGGCTTTTGGGGCCAGTCACTTCGACGTATCGCGCATCCACTTCTTCGACGTCGCAAGAAACCGCATTTTGCGATCCCTATATCGCGGACAGTCAAAGCGGCGAGCACAGCGGAGGCGGTGCCGTGCGATCCCTACAAAAAGGAGGTGAAGTCTGCACCCGATTTTCTCCCAGACTAGCACAACTGATCAGCATCTGTGCCAGTGTTATGGAGTGTCTATAGCTATGGGACCCGAAATCTTCCAGGGCTTGGGGGTTCTCAGCAAATCCCTATAGGTTCCAAGAGAGTTGGACCGTCCTTGTTCGTCCATTCCACCAGAATACTCCAGTCCGGTCTTAGGTCCTAGCTTCAGGTCTCCCAAAAACCGGACCGGGAGTCGGGTGAAAGGAGTCGTCAAAGTCGGTCGATTCACGCGGTGCGTTGCAGTTGCCATGACGGGCTCAAGCGGGTGAAGACCCCCGCCCGAGCCCCCAAAAAAACCGCAGGCGCCCACGGACCGCCGTGATGACCGCCACAGCGGAGCGGATTTGGACGGTGCACGTGAAGGGTGAGTCCCAGAAATCTAGGAGATTCTGACAGCATCCAAAGGCTTCTAGAAAGAGGCGGCTTCTCAAGCAGAACGCTTCGAATGTCCAGTCTTTCGTTCCACCTCCATCGGTCTCTGGGAACGCCCATCGCGTCCCCAGACGGCAGACTCGCGGAATACATCGCGGGGTGAAAGCGAGGAAGGAGAGGAAGACCCAAGTTCGGATCGTCCCGGCCCCTTTTTGGGAGGAACCAGAAGCTACTAGTAGCTGGAAGCTGCTAGGTGGAGGCCATCGCTATTCGGTTGGAGGCCGCTACTAGGAGCAAGGACGCTACTATCATATGGTCTTGATTCTTGGAGCCAAAGAATTGCTATTCGTCTTCTTCCTGTTTTTCTTCGGACCAACTGTTCCTTTCTTCTCACTGCCCTGCGGAGTTCACACGGCCCTGCGGAGTTCACACGGCCGTGGTTGTTTATTGTTTTTTTGGCGCGGTCGTGGGCGCGATGACATGCAGGCGCCGAAGCCATGGAAGACAATGCCACCCTCCTCGAGGTGGGCGGCAGGGTAGGTGTTGTGATTTTTTCTTGGGGAGGTGCTCTGTAGACATGCTAGCTACCAACCCACTGGAGAATTTCTTTTTGACCCTGCTCGTATGATAGGGCAAGATGTTTTTGGCCGGGTAGGATCTCCCATGGCATCTGGGTTCGGGAGACGCTCCGGCTCCATATCTTCAGAAGGGAACGACTCCCCCCTGGGCCCCGAAACCCCGAAGCAACACAGCTAGCGAGTTGTTGGACCCCAAGCGAAGCTATACACAAACATACCAACAAATCAATGCCATGTTCAGACCAGCACAAGCACCACTTGGGGATGGATCGTGTTCCACCTGGCAGATGGGTCGTTCATTTCCCAGGGGTGCTCCAGGTACTCCGTGTGTTCGTCGAACTGGTTCACCGGGTAGGTGAACCGGTCCGGTCAGGTGGCGACGTCCGTCAGTCCCTCCAGACGCGTAAGCGAAGTAAGCGAAGTACGTGGTTTTCACCAAAGCGATGTCATAGGATTTCTCTGGTTCAAGCACATGAACATGTCATCATCAGCATCATCATCATCATCAGCATCAGCATCATCATCATCATCATCATCATAATCTAATATAATATAATATAATATAATACACTACAATATAATATAATATAATATAATATAATATAATATAATATATATATGATTATATATGTATATCTCTATCTATCTAGTTATATACATATGATTCAATCCTATCTTTAATTTCCATAATATCATTGTTTGTGTGTGCTTGAACTGGTTCTCTCTTCCTCAGGAGGCTCGTATTTGCGAGCCCGGGGGGGAGCGGTCAGTTGCTGCCCCTGGGTGGCGACTGGGAGATCGAGCTCAATCCGAGAGACACTTGGCACCGGTGTTTGGAGGGGACCGCCGGTGGAACCACCCGGTGTTCCACCGGTTTGGTTGGGGCGAAACAAATGAGAGAGAACAGCAGGTCGTCTTGGTCTTGTTTTGAGACCTAAGAACACGCCGAAGTAAGCAGGCGTGTAAGCAGTTTTCAGAAGAGGTGCTGTTTTTGTGGGGATGCTTGAGTCATTGAGGTCTCCCGAATGTCTTGAGAATGTCTTGGAGACTTGGGCCATCCTGAGTCACCTGTACCAGGTCCTACACATGCACCTATATGTTGTCCAACTCGATGATCCCCATACGAATGGTCTTGGTTTCTAAGGATCAGCATGCTGGGTGGCAGGGGATGCCAATATTCTCCAGGGGCAGATGAGCTCTTCTCTGTCAACAAGTGTCAGCCATACGAGCAGGGCGAACTCCATTTCTATCACAAGGGTCTACCGCCCGCCTTGCAAGGGGGGGCCTCGGTTTTTTTGTCACGAAAGCTAGCTGTAGCTAGCTGGAGTCTGTCTTGCTTTAGCAAGGAGGGTGGGAGCCCAGGACCTGAGTGCTATTACCTGATATATCAGGACTACACCCCCCCCCCCTCGCGGGGTTCAACTCCACCCTTCTCCTCCTCGGTACCTGCTGCTGCTGCTGCTGCTTGGTCGCTGCTGCTGCTGGCATCTCATCCTCTCATCTGCACCTGGCTCTTGGCTGCTTGCTGGTAGCTGCTGTTTGCTGCTTGCATGCTTGGTGCTGCTGGATGCTCTTGGCTGCTTGCTGGTTGCTGCTGCTTGCTGCTTGCATGCTTGCTGCTGCTGGGTGCTGGCTGCCTGCTGCTTGTTGTCTGCTCCGTTTTGCTGCTGTTGCTGTTTGGGGTTGTTGGCTGCTGTCGGTGCTGAAGAAAGCCTATTCGTTAGAATTGAGAGTAGTTGCATTCCCTCTGAGTCGTGAAGCGATGCTAATTTCATTATATCCTTAAGAAGCTTGTACAGGCATGTACCCACCCCACAACCCCCAAGAGTACAAATCAGAATGCACTATCCGCTATCCATGCAGATCAAAAGATGATACTTACTACACACATGAATGACAGAACCCAGTACGATGTTTGAACGGGCTGTTTGCTTCACTCATGGTAGTCCGCGTTCCATGTTCGAGCGACAGGGAGCATGCACAAGCGTTGCCACGGAGTCTGAGGTCGCTGACACATGTTCGCATGCAACCCCTAGATGTCAATCATGCACACCGCTGCTGGCTGCAGCGTCAGCATTTATTTGTGGAAAAAACAGATATATCAGATATATCTGTCTTTCCACGTCGCCCTTCTACAATGACTCAGGCAGCACCTATATGTGTTGTTGTTCGAGACCAATCTTGGGGCACGAAAGACTCTAAGGAAAGCTCACTCTTTCCCTGCTGCTGCTGCTTGGTAGCTGGTGGTGCTGCTTGGTAGCTGCTGCTGCTGCTGCTGCTTGGTAGCTGCTGCTGCTGCTTGGTAGCTGCTGCTGCTGCTGCTGCTTGGTGGCTGCTGCTGATGCTGCTGCTGCTTGGTAGCTGCTGCTTAGTAGCTGCTGCTGCTGCTGCTGCTGCTGCCGCTGCTGCTGCTGCTGCTGCTTGGTAGCTGCTGCTGATGCTGCTGCTGCTGCTTGGTGGCTGATGCTGCTGCTGCTGCTTGGTAGCTGCTGCTGCTGCTGCTTGGTGGCTGCTGCTGCTGCTGCTGCTCTTGGTAGCTGCTGCTGATGCTGCTGCTGCTTGGTAGCTGCTGCTGCTGCTGCTACTGCTGCTGCTGCTTCTCTGCTACTGCTGCTGCTGCTGCTTGCTTGGTAGCTGATGCTGCTGTTGCTTGGTAGCTGCTGCTGCTGCTGCTGCTTGGTAGCTGCTCCTGCTTGCTGCTGCTGCTGCTGCTGCTGCTGCTGCTGCTTGGTAGCTGCTGTTGATGCTGCTGCTGCTTGGTAGCTGCTGCTGCTGCTGCTGCTGCTGCTTGGTAGCTGCTGCCGATGCTGCTGCTGCTTGGTAGCTGCTGCTGCTGCTGCTGCTGCTGCTGCTGCTTGGTAGCTGATGCTGCTGGTGCTTGGTAGCTGCTGCTGCTGCTTGGTAGCTGCTGCTGCTTGGTAGCTGCTGCCGCTGTTGCTTGGTAGCTGTTGCTGCTGCTGCTGCTGCTGCTGCTTGGTAGCTGCTGCTGCTGCTGCTGCTGCTGCTGCTTGGTAGCTGCTGCTGCTGCTGCTTGGTAGCTGCTGCTGGTGCTGCTGCTTGCTAGCTACTCCTGCTGCTGCTTCTGCTGCTGCTTGGTAGCTTCTGCTTGCTGCCGCTGCCGCTGCTGGTTACAGTTATTGTTGTTGTGGCTGTTGCTGCTGCTGCTGCGGTTGCTGGGGTGCTTGTGTGTTGCCATGTGTTGGCTGTGTTGGGGTCGTATTGGGGGGGGGCGCTGTTGGCACTCTCCTTTTCCCTTGGCCATGGCATGTTGGGATTCCCGGCCAGGCTTTTGCTGCCTAAAGAGCCCCAGCGTTGTTTCTTTGCCTAGCTTTCGCCACCCCTCTGGGCCACAAGTTAAACTAGATGGTTTTTTGTTGTTCCGGGATGTGTGCATGTGTTTTTGACGTGGCACGTGTTTTCGGTGTGGCGGCCGAACGCGCGATGGTGTGAGGTGCGGATGGTGCTCTACTTCATGGGATTAATATATAGCTTCATGGGCGTCAGTATAGTGCCTTGGGCAGTCGAAGTGCAGGGCAAAGACGTTACATGGCAACTTTTCGAAACGGTCATGGTGGTTTTGGCGATGGACAGGAACGGTGAATCGCTTGCGATTTTCAGCGGATTCTTGATGCCACCTCCAATAGCAGATGCCTCACATAGTGGGTTTCCATGGTATTCCAAGGAGAATTGCTTGAACCGATGAACGGAAGTTTTCTATTTTTCCCCCCAGCAACCATCAGATTCTACTGGAAGACATCCCCTTTCCCTGAAGATGTTTACAGTGGATGGGGCAAGTATCTCAAGTTTTGCAAAAGATATTCTGCCCTCACTTGCCAGCTGCTTTTCTGTCAGCAGGTCCATTTGGGCCACAGCACATTTCCTGACCCTAATTAAGCTTGTGTTTGTGAAGAGTTATATCTTCAGCAAGAGTCGGAGTCGGACGGAGGGCATGTGCCCCAAATCCCCAAAACCATTCGAATCAAGATTTCGATGGACCATTCAGACCGAATGGATGGACCCATTTCTGGATGATTCTTTGGGCTTGGATTGAGTGTGGACCATCCATTAGTGCTTCAGGTCACCTGCGGGCGCTCCCCTCACGGAACGAGCTCCTTCCTCACGAGCTCTGACCACCGGTGCCAACGTCTCTTCGTTCGGTTTCCCCGCACGAAAGACCACCCATGGATGTTCAGCAGGGTCACCTAGGCACTTCGAAATCAAATCCAATGATTTGACCCCCCCAGGGCGTGCGCGTTTGGGCGGTAGAACACACCCTCCCTCCTCTTTTGTTCGCAGCGGCTTGCAGCGACCGGCTCGCGAGGTGGCTGATTTGTTCATGTCAGCCATCGAGCGTGTCACCAGCGTGCAGCGCTGCGTGCAGATCGGGACCTCAAAGAGGTGAGCCGAAAGAAGAGGGGAAGTGGTTTCGGGATCATCGAGCCGGTACGGGATCGGGACGGGTGCTTTTGCGTGGACGGGGCGTGGACGGGGCGTCCGGTGATACAAAGAAGTTGGGGGGTTCAGGCCAGTTGAAACATGTTTAAACTGCTATCTACAGATGTGGCATTTTCAGCTGCTGAGTTGCAAAACGCAGAGAATACGGCAGAGAAGGTCGAACTTCTGCCTCTGGTGAACCGATTCACTGGGCCAGGATCGATTCCTCGGGGACACGTTGGGGTGGCCGGCGAGTGGCACATGGGGATGGAGTGGTTCGTCGCCCCCCCCGCCCTGGTCGATTCCAATGGACCACTGAAAAGCACTGGATTGAGGAACATGGTCGAAACCACGGATGAATTGTCAGGGTCCCTGTAAGTCAAACATGTATTTCTACCAGTCCAAGGACCATGTAAAACCTGCTACTCGTCGAGTGCCTGCTTTTGCATGTTCTCAGACCCAGTGAGAGGGCTGAGTTGCGCTGTCGACCTGTATGGAAATTGGGGCATCGACCTAGAAACAAACCGACCTTCACAAGGTCCGCTTTGAGAGGCGTTGCACTTCACTTGGACTTCACACCTGTATGTTTGGAACTGAAGAGTGATATTACCAGAGCCCCTAAGGCCTCTAACGGTGGTCAAAGGACACCCCAAGAAAAACCTCTAAGGGGCCTCTCATTCGACACCCCCCCTACGGGCCCCTGGAAAAAGAGTCTATATTATAGTTAGTGTTTCGCTCTAGTCCTTTGGGTCATCACGTCCTTTCTGTTGACGACGGGTGTGAGCGGAAGTTCCCGAGCCGAGCACGTGCGGACCTTCATCCCATGGGGCCGTCCGGATTTGGGGACCCCCAGATGGGGCGAAAAGAATGCCCATGCAACAAGAATGCCCATCGCATGGCCGTGGACATGCGTCGCGGTTCGCGTCACGTCACGGCCGGCCACAGGTTTCGCACAGCACCAGTGCCGCGGCTAGAAATGCGGCTGGAGAATGGGTGGTGGAGAAGTTGTTGTGTGAGTCCTCTTGGACGAGAGCAGAGGGTTGGGAAAGGCCCTAGGTTTCAATGGGGTGACCTGGTTTCAGTCGGTGCTGGACAAAAAACTGATATACGAGTAACTCTAGCTCTAGATCTCCCAAAGATGGGGTCTTTCAAGGTCCGGAACACGGTCCACCGATGTTTAAGGCCGTCCGGTCTGCTTCGGCCGCAGTTCGGCCGCTGATCGTGGGCAGGGACTCTTCACGGTCTTCATGGTCTTCATGTCTAGAGGCCCCGAACTTTCGCCCCGCGCGGAGTATAATAGACAGGTCGATGTCCGAACTGAAACCCCAAGGGGGGTCAGGATTCGCAGACGCTCCCGTGAAAATAGCCCTTTTCCTGGTCCCTCAAAACCGGATTGGTGAGAAACCCCAGACCCTCCGGATTCGGGTCCAGGGTCGCATTTGGGCACCCACTTATTCTAAAGAATCCGGACCCGAAGCATTTGGAACGTGTCTTTTTCTTCGGGACCCCTTGCTATGGAGGTCGGCTCCGCTTGTAACATCCCAAGCAGTGTCTAGGCGTTTGTTCTTTTGTTTTGTAAGTTATGGATTTGTTCAACCGAAAGGAAGCATCATTTACCAGGACCAACCTGTCTGGGTGTCTTGGCTCGACCACCCAGCTCACTACTATCCGGCTGTTCAGACAGGACACCCAGACAGGATGGTCCAGGTGTGTCGATCCAGGTGGCTAATATTCAGTTCAGACAGCCGGAAGTGTGCCGTACTGGTCCAAAGACCCAGTAAATCCAACTTCATTGAGTGTTTTAAGTATGACCAACTCCAGGAGAAATGAGATCTTTCAGCTGCAGGGGTGTTTCTTCCACATCTCGAATCTAGTGTTTTTTTCCAGCTTTCGCCCATTAATGAGCCCATCTTATTGCTTATTGCGGTGCCGATCGCTAAGAGTCTGCTAAGGCGCAACGATTGTTACTAAGAAGCTTCAAAGACCTAAAAAAGCATCTTGTTATGGCCTCCACCCTGGTAGCGATGGCCTCCAACCTAGTAGCTTCTTGTTACTAGCAGCGATCAAAGATCATAGGAAGAATCGTTATATACTAGAAAGGTTTTGCATGTCATGTCCCGGGATCGCGGTCGCTGTTGTGAATTCCGTGGTATGAATCAACATACTTGGCCTCTCATGAATCAATGGCCGGTGCTCGGAAGGGGAGAACACCCTAGATTGGGTCAGCTAGGGGATCCCAAATAGTCCTTGCAAGGCTGGAGAACTAGTTTCAACGACAGCTCACTTGGCTGTGATCAGACTCTGGGGCAAGAAGCTGATCCCACAGTGGACAGAGCACAAGTGTTTTGGTGACAACTTGCTGTGTCGCCCATTAGTAAGCAGGTGACTGATTCTGGTTGCTGAAGGTAGTTTTTTTTTTCATTTTGCTTCTAGCAACAAGGTATACAGCCAACCAACAGAACTTGAATGAACCAGCAGCCACATGAGGACCAGCCTGTGGTTCTCGTCCTGCCCTCAGATGTCCGGACCTTCCTGGCCACGACCGACTTCTGAGGTTTGGAATGAGACAGTGGCAACCTTGACTTTGATGGCGCTTGGGTCGCTGGGGTGCGGAAACAGGGGACGAGGGCACGGAACGGGCAGCGCGTCGCAGGGTGGGCCAAGAAGCGCCGTTTCTGCGCGTCGTCGCGTGGTTCGAGTGTCGGGTGCACGTGGTTTCGCCCTCCTTGGACCCCCCCCCCAGAAGTTTGGGGTTCAACCCCAAAGAGGAGTCCCAACAACCAATCCAGGTCACCCTTGAAAGGTCACTGCTTCGACCCTCCAAAACGGATCCCCAAACATCGGGAGGATCCGGTACGAACGTTGCTTGAGACGACCCGTTTCCTGTCCAACCGGGGCACCGTGTCGCAGGGGTCGAAAGGGCCCCCTCACCGAGACGACCGAGACGATGCACCGCACAGCGACCTTCGGAGTTCAGGTGGAGTTCAGGGGGAATGAGGCCAGGAGCATGGCAGATGTAGGGGGTCGAAGTCCGAGGTGTGTGAAATGGTGATAGTATACCAGCACCCGACTGGACTCAGGTCTCCGAAATGGAGGGTTGGGAAAGGCCCAAAAAGAGTTTTCAATTGGTGACCTGTTGGAGGTGCTGGTATATAATATCATATATATACAGACTTATACAGATATACAATTATACACACACTTCTGAATCGGCTTAGCTGCTATACATGGGCCCTTACCAAGTGAACTTTCAGGGGAACGAACATTTTTTGAGGATATCACGAGCACCTTTTGGAGCATGGTGCCCGGCAGGGCCTGAAAATAGCAGACTCCTGATCCAAGGTCGATGATTCTTCCGGCTGATTCCATACACCTGGACGTCTTCCTTGGTTTTTGGTAAGTGCACTTGGGACCCTTGCCACCAGTTTGCGCCAGTTCCCTTGTCGCTCTTGTTCCGCTCTTTTTCTTCACCGATCGGTCCATCTGTCCCTGGGCCCTCCTAGGTCCTCAGCGCCGGAGATCATGCTTTCCCTCAACGACATCGTCAAGCGGACCTTCGTGCAGGGAAAGTTGGGAGCTTCCACCATTGCCACCTGGGCAGCAGGCGACCGCAAGGTCGTGCATGCGACCGCTCGGGTGGTGGTGGTGGTGGTGGTGGTGGTGGTCGAGCGCAAGGTCCCGGTTCGGGGTCGCAAGGGTGGGGCGGTCGACATCTCTGGTTGAAAAAGGCCTCCCCAAAGTGTCTTGATGGCACCAGATGCATTGCTTTCAGTTCCACGTTCCACTGTCTAGTGTTTTGCCCTATAGGGATCCACATGCCACATACCTTCTCAGAAGGTGTTTGGACCTCCAAGCATTCTCAACAATGTCTCCACTTGCCCTCTCAGAGGACCAATCCCTTTTTGCTTCCAGATAGCTTTCGGACCCCCCCAGCATCCTCAAGGTTTGCAGGGCGCTCCTGCCCCGTAGAGGGGCCGGATTGACCTTGAGGTGGGGTCTGCAGCCTTCAATCTTTTCGTCATTGTGGCGGTGTGTATCAACACGATCCCCGCAGGCACGGGACAGACGACGCGTCAGCACGTGGAACAGCTGAGTTGACGCGACACATGTGAGCTGAGTGGACGATACGCACGCTGAGTTCTCGCAGTCGAACCACTGGGGAGAAGTCGGCGTTGGTCGTGCAGCTCAGGAACATGATGGGGTGTAGAACTCTAGCAGACAGAGGCTGAGGGTTGACAGCCGTACTAATCATTTGCAGTTCTGTTTTGTAGTTTTACTTTGATGGTTGAATTCATTATATAAAACATTTCTATATTGCCTCCCGACAAGGAGCCCCGATTAAAGTGTTGTTCACATGATAACTTTTTGGAGTCCTAGTGGTCCTAATGGGGACGGAAGTGAGAGAAACCGGCAAACAAGAGGACTTTGGGGTTCCCGTATATTTTGTGACAGCGCTTGGAATAAGGGCCATCTCTTGCTGGAAACTTCTCGACTTTTCACGTCTTTGCAGTGGATTTGGATCCTCTCACGACACACCGGTCGCTGCCAACAAACTCGGTCCGAACTCACTGTGCCCACACCTGCACATCAGTCCCCCACCAGTTCAAGTGTTTGAACATCGGTTGCGTGGTTCGTAAGCCGCCTGTTGCAGCCCGGCAGCTCATGCGCGAACGCGGGACCATGCGGAAGCCTCCCTGTAACGGACGACTCGATGGACGACGTCTCGTCCACCTCACCGGCCACCGGACCGACGTGTTCGGGCCGATTGGTCCACTTCTGCGTCGGTGGCGCCGGCGCTAAGCCTTCCGGCAGCCTTGGATGTACAACTCGAGACGCTTGGAGGAATGACTTGCAGCTTTTCGGCCCCCACTGCGAGCACGAACCGAAGATGTGAGGAGCAGGTTGCAAGAGCCCCGAAAGCAGCTGCTAAGCCTTCCGGCAACTGGAGAACCATCTCTGCTTCAACGTCGAAAGACAGCATACACCTTGGCCTACCCTACCTCCAATAGGAACAAGATGGAACACGAAAAACTGAGTACCTAGGCCTACTAGTTATGCCTCATTGATGCTTTCTCTTGACGCAGATTGGGACACGGCGCAAAAACAAGCAGAAACCAGCAGCAAATCAATCCAGAGTACTCCCACCACAAAGCTCTTTTCGACCTCCGGCGATTCACATGGCGATTTTGACCTCTGACGTCCCGTCCGGCTTCCTGCCCGCGGCGCCGGATGCTGCAGACGTGGCGCGGTTCCGCACGGAGGCGCGGTTCCGCACGATGAAGACGTGAGGGCGACGAAGTCTCTTCGTCTTAGGGCTCCACCAGTCGTAGCTCCGAAACGAAGGTACAACTTGACTGGACCCTGAAAAAATCAACTCCCCAGTCTCACCGTCGAAACGAAGGTACGACTGGAGACCTAGAGTTGATGTCTGGAGCCATAGCCCTGGAGTAAGGATTGCCCATGATTCACCTATACCTTGAAGTCGTTTGTCTCATCTCGAAAGCACCCGAATTCATGTAGTCAAATATTCCTATACATAAATTGTCTGGTGACCAGAAATCATCGAATGAAGTGGTGGTCTTTTGACCAGGTCATCCCAGCTCGAGTGTTGACCATGTCCTTCATCTTCCCTTCAGCAGGTCGAAGAGCTGGAGTCCTCGATTGACGGCAGCACTGCTGCGCTCGCGTTGGCGCTTTCGAACTTCGCCGCTGCTTTGGGCCGCTCGGATGCTGCGGGTGGCGGGTTGGGCGGTGCGGGTCTTTTTGCGAAGAGAAGTGTAACACGAGTGTTTCATCGACTGTAGATCGCGAAGGGTGGCTTTTTGAATAGAAGGTGAGGGCTTTTTCAGGGGAGCACCTGGAAGATATGTGGCAAGAGATCGGTAAAGGGGAAGGTGAATTGCAGACATTGCAGAAGATTCCAGTACTTTGATCCTCAGTTTCCACATGTTTATATACTGTACATGTTTCTATACATAGATGTTGATGTTCACATACCTTCTTGTTCGCGCATGCTGGCTACCATCGATGGAGAATTGGCCCTTGGGGGAAGCCGAATGTGTTGACCCTCTTGGTGGGTGTCCAGGTGTTGCTTTTTGAGGTCTCTTCGTGCCGGTGGAACCATGGGTGACCTGTCAGTACTTGTCAGGGACCTGTCTCCACACCCATAAGAACACTCGGCCGAACTTGGGATCACACCGAACTTGGTTAAAGTTTCACGCTCCAGAATTAAGCAAGCATGAGAGGTTATAGTTGATGCGAAGCGGCTTCATTGTACAAGGATGTACAAGGTGAAAAAGCCCCAGAACTGGGGGGTCATCAACCCATGAAGCTTGGTCCAACGGACTTCCAGAGCCTCTGTGCACCAGTGTGTCACCTCCCACACCTGGACACGGACCAGATCTCGACCGAGGTGCCTCGGGGGAGGAGGATGAAGCCTTAGAGGCCACGGGCCGAACTCCGTCGTGAAGGCAGTAGATGGCAGGTCGGTCAACCACATGGTGGAGTCCTGGTGGTGCAATGGGAAAGAAGCATCTGTTCTCCGTCATGCCACGTGGTTGGCTACAGGTGAAATGAACATGTTTGGTTTAGCCTTGCATCATACGATGGAACATCAATTCATAAGCCGGGCCTGTTGCTTTGGGGTCGCAGTTCTGGGCATTTTTGCAGATTTGACCACAGGAGCCTGGCAGATTTTCACTTCGCAGCCCTGGAAGTTTGTGTTTCTTTCTTTTTCTGAAAGCCGGAGGCCTATTTCAGGGCGAAGCAAGCACACGAGGCGGCCGGCAGCACTTCCACCCCTTCCTATGCCGATGCTCGGAACGGGGTTGGACTGGGCGGACCTGGAGCGAGGGTGATGGGACCTTCATGAACCTGGTTGGACCGAATCACCTGCTCGCTTCAGATCCAACCTACTTATACCGCATTACATCCCATTACTCTATGACTCCAAATCCAAACTCGGAGCTCAGACTTCCACCTGGGGACCCTCCAGACCAGACGGGCCCGAGCTGGTTGGAGCCTCTCCGAACGGACGCTCCGCGCCGGCGGAGTCCCGAGGATGTGGCGTTGAATGTGGGGGACCACCTCAACGAGCAGGGCCAACCAGCAGAGGCGCAGGCGCCTGCTGGTTCCCCGCGTGCGCGTGTTGACCGTGGGACAAGCCGCGGGACGTGTTGAACCTTTGGAGGCGTGGTTTCGCTGCAGGGTGGATGACAGGTGTGACGCTACGCTTCCGGCGGTGCTTCACTGGGCTTTGGGTCAGTGAGCATACGCTAAAATTCACTGACATGAAAGGGAAGCCTATATTTGTAGAGGAAAAGAGTTTTCCCTAAGGCCATTTTCCATGATAGTGAGTCGGAGGGTAGATAGCTTTGGCACATTTTTTTCGCCAGGAGCTCTTTCTGCGGGCAAAGGAGGCTGGAACTGGGTGTGCGACCTGCTGGTTGGATTCAGCAAGGGTTTAAAGTCTAGGAGGTTTTCCAGATCTATTCTCACCACTTAGGGTAATATAGATTGATTAACAATGATCAATACACACTCCAAGATGGAGATGCATGCCTACCTGTTAGGTGCTTGGCCATTCAACCATTTGCATTGCTTCGTTTCCTTCGGGTCGCCTTCTTCTGTTCTGAACCCCGAAGGACTCGGCAGCCTGTGGCTGACTCGGGAGGTGTTTTTGGGGCTGTTCGACTTCCCTGGATGTTCGACTCCTCTCGCCACCACGAGATTGGCGGCGAACGAAGAAGAGTGAGTTCGACTGTCAGGTTCTGTGTGAGGTTCCGTCGGGTTCTGTGCAGGTCTACTTGAAGGAAGGTTGGGAGAAGACATTGATCCCTGGCTGGTGGAACCGTTCCGTGGCCTTGTGCCGGTTGGTTTCCGGAAAGCACCCGAAACGCAGCACCCGTTTGGAGGGTCCAGCACGGATTCGTTTGGAGCTTTAGATGTGCTTTTTCTTTAAACCTCCACTGGTCACAGTGGCAACCGGACCTCTTGGGTTCAGGATCTGAATCAAGACCTTTTGCGGGCACGGCGGCATCCAGTTTCGTTGTTTGGCGAACGAAGAGAATCAATTAGCACTGGAGTACAATGTGCAACGCCTTAATTTTGGGACAGATTCGTGCGTGGCAATGGCAATGCTTTGTGGACGGCTGGACTGCCTGGAAAGATGGGGAAATCCAGTTCTCAAATATACAGTGTTTGTGCAACATGGCTCGCATCACTCTAGATCCATCTGACGGTTTCTGTCCAAGCTGGCCTCCGGGAGAAACCTCCTCGCGGTGGTCAGCGGAGGGGCTAGGCTGCAAGTAGGGTTTCACTCAAACAGCAGAGCGTAAGGACTTGGCTGCGGCAAAAACTTTTTGCTGCGCACACGCGATATTGAGTATATCCAATCAGGCTCCCATCCTCTTATGTCAAGTATCACGGGAGGGCGGATCGACACAGGAGGACGGGGACTCCCGCTCCTGCGGTGCGCCCCATCGAGGTCACCGATCCAGTCCACGATAACGGTCCTGTTGCAGTGTCTAAGGGTGTTGGGGGCTGGATGGTCTCTCCTGAAAGTCCCCGCCCGAAGACACGGGGCCACCGCGCCGGACCGTTGGAAGGGTGGGCGGTCGGGCGAAAAATCTTGTTCACTTCCAATCGGCTTGGCGACTGACTTACGCGTCAGTGACACCCCAGTGGCTCCATGCTACCACTCCACATGTGACTTTTCAGGCTCAAGGACATTATACTTGATCGACAGCAGGGATGAAGCGGAAAACGTGGTTCCGCAAACAAAGATCTCGCAGGTTAGCACTGTTCAGACTCCATAGACGGGCCCCAAATCCCTCAACCCGTAAACCCCCCCGACAGATCTGGCGCATCGGCAGAAGTTTCCTTGCCAGACTCCCAGCCGAGACAAGTGACTATTTGGGACATCCTGGTTCATGGCCGTGTGGCCATCGCACTCGGCCCCCGCTTGTTTGCTGCATGGAGTCAAGGTGGTCGCCGCCGATACCGGCCAACTGGCGTGTGTTGATGCTTCACGTACCCCGGGTCGGCCCCACTCCC